TTATTTTCTTTGGGTCTTTCTTATATTGCCCTCCCAAGTGGCACAGTCGGTATGTCTGCAGACTTACAACGCTAGAAACCGGGTTTCGATACCCATGGTGGGCAGAGCACAGATAGCCCATTGTGTAGCTTTGTGCATAACTTTAAACAAACAAACAAATTTTTATATTGTAATTAATATATTGTTTAACTCTCATGTTTTATCTCTCATTCTATTCTATTCTTGTATATAATTTCCTTTTAAAATATCCTGAAGTAGCTTGTCACTGACTGGCAGACTTGTTTATAGCTTGAAAAAGTGCTTTTGCTCAAACAGACACCTTAGAATTGAAAAATAAAACTAAAGATTTTTAAATTAATTAATCTTCTAAAGTGTATAATATATATATGTGTGTGTGTGTATGTATGAAACTTTTAAAGATAAGTAAAAATAAGGTATTAGGGATATAAATAACCATCTTGTGTAAGACAACTTACAGAGCAATCAATCTGATTTTGCACAAGACAGAAGGAGGGAAGGAAAATAAAAAAATGAGTAAGCTCAATTCATCATATGAGGACTATGGCAGAAAAAGCTAAACATCTTTGAGTATATGCTGTGAGCAAGTTAGATGTTCATGCCCCAAGTGATAAAAATCTAAATAAACTAATCTGGGATAATATATGAAAAAAAAAGATGTTTCCTGAGGGCATAACAAATAAAAAACAGATATACCCAACTGTAAGTGCATCAAAAATGAATTGAGGACTCATTACTTACAACCAATAAAGCAGTGACTAGAATATGCCTTTTAGATTCTCTAGCAAAATGTACACAGTGGTCTACTGGATAGAGTTGGGTTTCTTAACAGAAGTAGTAGAGCAAAATATATTGTCATAAGAATCTTTTGCTGAATACTAACATGCCCCCTCAGTCTCATACCACTTATATTCCACTGACAGATGAGGAATTCCTCAATACTGACTTCCCCAATAGTTATGGATTGGAGAAAAAGGGTTCTTCTATACCTCAGTAGAAGATGAGGAGAAATGAATGTGCATGGGGAAGAGCACCAGAAAGGTGTGTGGACTGTTATTATCAAGCACAACCATCTGGAATTACGTCTCATACTTTGAGACAGTGAAATGGGTTAATGCAACTAAGGACAGCAGGTGTAAGGGCAAACTCACAACTGGCACTTTTGTTTTTTGTTTTGTATTTTCAAGTGCAAAATGACTTGGAAGTAGTCATTGTGGAAAACCACATCTCAACAGTGGGAACTTAGAAGGTAAGGATAGGCTTAACATTGTTTGTATCTTTGCACTTGATGAGGATTTTGAGTAAGTATTTAATGTGAGGCAATACCATCTGCTTGGTGGGTACCATCATCTCTATAATATATATATATATATCCAAGAATAAGGTACAGGATTTATTGGTACAACATTCAGTCTGAGTGTAAACAGAGGAGTGTCATGCAGTGTGAGCCACCACACAGATTAGATTCCCTGCATAATGGAAGACCAGTGTGATACCTGACTGTGGACATTATCACTGAAAATGGACATAGAGACAAATAAACTTTGTTTCCCTGAAGAACAGAAGTCATATAAAGATGAGTAAACAGATAGAACCTGAAGAACAATGTGGTTGAGGTTCATGAGGCTCCAAGTAGATGCAAGTCTAGGTAATGTGGGAGAAGATGAACATTCAAGGTTGTGTGGGATCTAGTGAGCCACCACAACTGCAAAAGGTGTATCTCTGGAGATACCTGTATTGGCAGGCCAAACATTACTGAAGGTGACAAAGAAAAATAAGGGACTCAAAAAAAAAAGATTCATGCAGGAAAGGATAGAGACATGACACTCCTGATATTAAGAGCTCCATGTCCAAAGACACAGAAGTGAGAGTCCCCCACTGCTAGTGGATGAAAAATGTTTAGGGGTTGAGACTGAAATGGAAAGCTGAACCAGTCACCTCATACAAGACAACTTCCAAAGGAGAAAAGACATTACAACAACACTGAAAGGAACATGAAGTTAAAAATCCACAGGGTAGTGGTACAACAGACCTCAACAATTTATCTTCCAAGTAAAAACACATTCCAAACCCAATGAAAAAAGGTACAACCGTCAACTCAAATGGAAGTACTGAGAACCAAATTTTCAACCACTGAAGACAAACTGAAGGAAGCATAAGGTGGGCAGACAAATTGGAATGTGGAGAAAGTGTCTGAGACCTTGAAACAAGATATTCACCACAAGAGAGTAAGAAAATACCAATTGGAAACTAAAGAAAGACCAGAGCTGGGTCAAGCAGGCCAGAATATTATCTGTTTGACAACCTCCCATCTTCATGTGAATGATAAAAAGACAGGAGTAAAACTACATAGTAGAGTTGAGAAATTGTCTTATGACACTTGAAAAAGTTAAGGTGGAGGATAGAAGTACAGAAGATACCCTTCAGGAAGCACCTGAGAAACAAAGTGGAAGTGCAGAGTTTCCACAGAAATGAAACAGGGGTAGCTCCAAAGCCCATGATGGACAGTCTTCAAAGAGGAGGGAACATTGTTAGTAATAACAGGACAAGGAACAGAAGAGGGGATTGACTCCACAAAGCCATATGTAACAAGAATCCTGGGAGAGCCCCCTAGTCCCAAAGGCAAGAAACCACAGTGAGAAGAGATGACTACTGAAGAGCTGCATAAGGTCAAATGCCAGTGTATAAGGAATACCCCAAAAAAACACATCAAAAAGAAAAGATGCAAAACAGGGGTCTTGGAGAGGAGATTGAAGGTGGTGAAAGTCAGAAAGTAAGGCACCTTGAGAAAGTACATCCAATAAATAAAGAAATCAAGGTAATTGGGAGAAAATGGAAATAAACTGAGAGTAAGGTGGAAGACAGGTTTGTGCAAGTCATCCCAATAAAGCTGATGGGGCCATGATGGAAAATCTCCAAGAGTAAGATATGAGTAGTAGTAGATGGAATAAAAAAAAAAGGAAGGAAAAAGAGGAAATCACTAAACTGAAAGAAAGAATTCAATTGAAGGAAGCTCATTCAGTAATATCACTGACTGTCAGTGTCCCTAACTGTCATGACAGTATTGGATGACTCCTGTGAAGGAATGTCAAAAACCTCGGGAGATGTCAGAAACATGAGAACATGAATGCATAATCCAGTTAATATACTAAACTGATGTTGTGATGCTCCACCTTTGTAAAATACATAGAAAACAGGTTATTTTTGTTAGTAGTTCAGAAGAAAGTGAGCAAGATATGGCAATGGTGTATACATCTTGATGATCTTGAAGAGAACAGAATGAAACTCATACACTAGATTAAATAATGGGAACAGCTAGTATAGGATGTCCTTGACAGTAAAGCTTCAACAGATATCTTATAATCTGATAAGGTTCTACAGATCACCTCTCATGTCTCAAATTAGACAGGGTATACCACACACTAGTTTTCCATCCCCTAACTTTTTTAACATCCAACAATAAGTTAGAGTAAATTTGGTTTTGTTGACTTCTATAGCTATTTCTCCTCTAGTTAGTTTCCAAACCACTACTTTAGCAATAATAGTGTAGCAACTGAGATTTGTAACTTTGCTTTTCCCTTATAATTAGTCTCTCATCCTTAAATGGAGTGACCCTCTATTACCACTCTTCTCTTTGTGGTGATTATGCAGATCAGTCAGTCTTTTAAACAGGCAGGAAGCAGTCATACAGATGTTTGTAGTCTCAGTCACTGACAATGTTGCAGTCTCTTCTTTTTGTTTAGTTATTGTTTTAATTTCTGTGTGGGTTTTTACAGTGTTCATTTAGTGTTGTGGTTATGGATAAATCAAATTAAACCTGTAAAAATTAAGCTAAAGGTAATGTATAGTTTGGTGGTCCCACAATGGTGGATACTCATTCAGTCTGAGGGAATAGCATGTTGTAGCATTGCTGAGAAGTTTGACATGTCTTTTTACTTATGTTCTATGTTTACAGTGCTGGAAGGGTCTTCATCACTCAGTGGCGGGAATTTATATTTAGTTGAAGTTTTGGTCTAGAAATTGCTCATGTATGATCCACTAGTTCTAAGGACATCAGGTTGTTAGTTTTGTAGTACTGAAGTTGTAAGTAACCATATTGGCTGTTGTGCTCACTGAAACTTATCTTAGCATAATGTGCTTTTATTTTTTGTTTTATGATTTGAATATTAGGGCAAGTGTCAAGTCACATTTGTATAATAGCTTAAATAATTGTACAGCTTGAAGATAAATATGCTAATGAAAAAATTGATCAACAAGACTAAATTGTATACCCAAAGTTTAAGGAGTTGTACAAAATAAGTTTGAATAGTAATTTGTATAACATAACAAAATTGGTACTAATTGTATAATGATGTTAATTTGTAAAATGATTGATACTAGTATCTATTCAGAATGATAAAATTAATAAAGAAAGTTAAACTGATCTTTACTATCCATAATTTAACAGAAACTTTAAAACAAAGGTGTCATTGAAAAGGGTGGTTTGTTGCAATTAAGTATTACACATTTTGGGTTTTCAGTAACAGTGTTAAATCTAGCATCCAATGATGTGATTGATTTTGCCAGCACCAAAACAAGATAAGCAGAGAAGTAACATATGTTGAAGATTTGCAGTATTTTTTCCCATTTACTTTAACAGTACACTTTTTTGGGCCTGCAAATAGCAGTCCTACTAATTATTACAAAGTATCACAAACTAATCACATGATAATAACAACAAAGTACCACAAATACATGTGCAATAAGGTCAAAAATCTTCAGCCACAACTACATGTAATTTCATTTGTAAAAACCATCAAAATGGATCATTACAACAAAGATTAAGCTGCTTTATCAATTCATTACAGTATTTTTTGTTAAGTTTTTGCTAATATTTTATGTTATGCAATAACTTTATTATTATGTTTATTTTGATTACCAGTGTTGTATATACATATATTATTTTCATTTTAAAATGTTTTCTTACTGTAAAGTGCTTCACTACAAGGCAATAAAGTTTTTTTTCTCCAATTATATGTATGTTTTGTGTCTTATCTATTGAGTTTATTGCTTAATTTGTGATACTTTATGATTACTTTGCAGTCAGTTTGTGGTAATTTGAGGTAATTAGTAGGACTCACAAATAATACTAAGTTACTGACTGAGTAACAATCAGTGGTCAACAGCTATTCAGTCCACATCTCCGCACTCTGAAAAATTTAAATATCATGAAGCCTAAAAAGCCCATTCTTTGGAAAGCAGCAGTTAAAATCCTAGCCTATTATAACACACATAACCAAATCAAAAAAGTACAAAGACATGACAAAGAAACAAAAATTACAAACCAATGATATAGCAACGAGCCTTGAGAATACTTAAGTAAAGGAAAGATCCTGCTAAAAATCATGGCACTCTATAAGCTACAATTAACAAAAATTAATTCCTAATCAAATAAAATAACATATATTGTACTAAATTATAAGAGGAGGAAGAGCAAGAAAACCTCAGTGACTTAGTTTAATATAATAAAATGCTTTCACAACTTTTTAATCCCCAACTTTTTATTCCTCTTAAAACTCCACTCTTTGATTTCTCACATTTTATATTCTCAATCCCTTCCCTTATTAGTATCAAATCAGCCCGAGCCTCATTTTTTGTCTTCAACAATATTTACTCCATGTTTCAGTAACACATTATTTTTAACAGCTATTATCAGACTAACATTTGAAAAGTGGTCATAGCTATATAATGTAGGCCAATTTTAATCTTATCACTAAACTCTACAGTAATAAAAATAAAACACATTTGAAAGGTTAATAAGAGAAAAATAATAATTAAAATTAATGTATTAGAGCTGTACTACCTTTTCTGAAAACCTTAAAACTTCTCCAAGGACTTGCAATTGAGCAATAGATTCTTCAAGAACAAACGAAATTAACTGTGCTTCAAATGGTAACATTTTCATTCTGAATAAATTTGAAAAATTCTCTACAGAGACATAAAAAAAAAAAGAAATAGAGAGAACAGCATATATTAGAAAGTTGAGATAATTTTACAAAGTCAGTTATTGTTAAAAGTATTAAATTGTAGCCAGTAGGCATAAGCTATTTACTTTTAGTTTTTATACTAAAATTGCAGGAAATTCTAACTATTATATACCACTGGCATTTTTGTGAGAGACTTATATCAAAATAATTTTACGCTATTTATTTGACATTATATTTATAGACTTATGCTGGAACTTCTTTAAGCTTGTGGCTAATCAAGGAATGCATTAAGCCTCTATGTCATAGGCACTATTTTCCATTTTACCTCTGGTGAAAAGAAATCTGTAATATATAGTACAAGAAGTGTTTGATATGAAAACAAACATCCCACTTAAGTTAAAGTTAACATACATTTTCACATCAAATAGTTCTTCCATTACTAGCCCTGATGAAGCAACAATGGAGAAAGTTTGGCCTAAATAAAAATGTTCTTTATTATTATCTGAAGAGTAAAGGTTAATGCTGTAACTTACCCAACTGAATTCCTAAATTCTCTTGAACCACCAGGGATGACAGGTCACATTCTGAAATTAAAGGTTGGTTTCCAAAAATGTTGTTGAGAAATCTTGATCCTCCAAAATTATGTAATGACAAAAGTTTAATTGTTAAGACTTTACTGCCACATGTTATCGAAGCTATAACTACAGCTGGTCATGCCAAATGTGAATATGTCTTCATTCCAAAAATTCCTTTGCTACCAAGTGATTACCCATTTGAATTTAGAAGGATCCAATTCCCAGTTACAATTTGTTTTAAAATATCAACTAATAAGGCATAAGGTCAAAATTTAAAGGTTGCTGGATTGTTCCTAAAACAGCCTTGCTTTCACATGATCAATTCTATGCAAGATGTTTGTGGGTTGGATCTCATCAAAACCTGTTTATAATGTCAGAAGAAGGAATCTAATGTGATACATCACGAAGCTTTCAGTTAGACTGTATAATTTTTGTTTTGAAAATCAAAGGTTTAAATAAGAGTTAAAATACTATGAAAATTGAATTTTTTAAAAAAGTGTTCTTAAAAGTAATTTAATTGTGTTTTTAAATACCTATTCCAAGCATTTTGGACACCTGTGCAGGTAATTAACCTAGTATTAATATAAAATCAAAGTAAGATAGATTATCCACAACTTAGTAAATTTTATATTAAACTTTTTTTACAGTTTACAAATATGAAAATATCTAAACGTCATGAGCTGCCTCTATTATCTGTAGATTTTACCTAAAACGGGCCTAACGTGTTAAACATGAAAACTATATTGGAACAAAATGATCGTGGAACTTTCTAATATTACGTACAGTAGACGATAATTTACCTGATGATAACCACACGAGTGGTCGAAACGTTGTTATAAAATTAAAAATATAAAATATTCCACTTGGAAAACTGTGTCTCTGGACTTTTATTTATGAAAACTACGTGTTTATTTATTTTTCTTTTGGTCTCCTAGCAACAAGGGATAGCGCCATCTCATTGAAATTGACTCATGCTTCTACTGGTCTGTTTTCGTATTTCATTGTAAATAATTAGTTAAAGAGAAACTGTGCTTTAGATTTTAATATGTAAATATTATACAGTAAACAGTTTTATTAATATCAGTTGTTTGATATCAGGTTTTATGTACGTGTGTGGGCAGGATTCTTTACAGTAGGTGTCTGTGACGTGTTGTTGATAAATTTTAACAATAAACAGACAGGACACATTTCACTTGTTTTAAAATAATATATCTAAAATAAGTCAAAAGTATATACAAATGTTTGTTACACAGTTAATCACCTCAGTTATATACAGAGCTTTTAATAATCGCGTCTTTTCATAAAGAGTCCACAGAAGTTAGTTCGTTTACTTTAGAACCCAATGGACAAGACAAATTATTTTCTCTACTCTGTTATTGCAATACAATCTATGATAATAACATTTTAAAAAGTCGCCACTATACACTCTATATAGCTAAGCTTACAAACCCTTTCTAAATCTATTTGACTATATCTCTCCCTAACTTTGTCTTACTTTCGCTTTCACTAACTTACTTACTTGCATTAAGTTGTCACCTATTGCCTGACTGAGACTAGAACTTTCTACAAATTATGAGATGTTATGATGTAAGAATACCGATTCAAATAACGCACGAAAGAAGCAGTAAGAAAAATTCGGAAGGTTCGAGTAAAATGATGTCATTTCACAACAATTGAACCACACAACAAATGATCCATAAACAGTTACATAGGCAAGCCTGTGATACATTATCACTTCTAAAAATAACTTACTTTAACCCTATCATTGGCTCAGATCAAACAGGTAATTTGAAACTTCATACTTTTCTTTTTTTGGCAGGATCTGAGCGGTATTTCTGTATCTATATTATAAACAGTATGATGTTGTTGTTTTGCTTTTTAATGATCTATCTTCAAAATAGTTTATGTTCAAGATTTAATTTCGATTACACCGCTGGCTGAAGTAATATATAAAAATACCTGAGACTTTTTTCAATTTATAGCAACTATTTTTTTGAAAACGTAAGTGTAATAATATTAAACTTATTACGCTGTTTCATAATTGTTTACCACTAGAGTTCGAATTATTTTTCAAAAGTTAACTAAAGCGATGAATGATTTACAGGATTAAATAAGTGTAACATATTCCTTATAATAGAGATTGATATTGACACATTTGTTCTTTCAAAGCTGCCTCCCCCCACTGGCCCAGCGGTAAGTATGTAGGCTTACAACGCTGAAAATCAGGTTTCGATACCCGTGGTGGGTAGAACACGGATAGTTCACTGTGCAGCTTTGTGCTTAACAATAACAACTAACTTTCACAGCTGAATTAATCACCAAAGCGCATTATATATAAAGAACACGCATTGATACTTTAACACCATCTATAGTAATGTGTAGCACATGTAGTTACAGACATCTTATAGCTAGAAGTTGTGCGTGGCCTAGTGGATAGCGTGTCGGACTATGAATTTAAGGTCTTTGAATAACGTCAGGAAATCGTGCTCCACACTTTGGAGCTGTGGGTGTGTTATAAGGCTGATAGTACAATTCAGTTATTTAATTACAGTTGCCTAAGAGTTAGCGGTGGGTGCTATTGATTAGCTTCCTTCCCTCTACTCTTTAAGCTCAACATTAGGGACAGCTAGCCCAGATACTCGCTGTGTAACTGTGGGAATATCTGATAAGAAACAAGAAAAAGGATGGTTTGCCATGTGGTCTGAAATGCAACTGATTGGTCATTCAGCCTAAAAAATATACAGCGTTAGCGTATAAACTAGTTTATATCGTATAAACAGAGTTTTCAAAGAACTTCAAATTGTTCATGAATCATAGCTACATCTCGGAGAAGTCATTTGACTGTTTTACTGATGTGAAAAGCCACAGTACAAATGGAAGCCGATCACAGTATGTTGATAGGAATTGTCTACAAATTTTTCAAGATGCCATTAACAGAATGAGTTAAGGAACTACATCCAAATCATTAATACAGTTGTTTGAGAACCTGGAAAAAATAGATGCCAAGGTCATGTCCAACGGGTCAAAAAACACATGGAGTAAGATTGTTGTATTTTTTTTACAGATGATCGTGATTTACCCTGCAGCTAGATGTTTATACTTATTTGGAGAAAATATGGGACCAGATCAACCACAATTTCATACTGCATATGGCAGTGGTAAAATATGGTGTGTGCGGACATTAACATTGGTGAACTTAGAGATCTCGGTCTCCTAAAGAATGATATTAATGATAACAGATTAAATAAACTATAATCTATGTAATTCTTTCTGCCACATGCTATTGTAATTGGCTTTGACTTCTCTGCCACATGCTATTGTAATTGGCTGAATTGCAATATTTTTATTATAATAAAATGGTAAAAAGATTCATTGAAGAAGATTAAATTGACTGAATGGTGTCTATTTCATTCGCACTGGCCTCAACCCAATCTAGTATTTATGGATGCTCCTTGTAGACCATCGAGTTACTCCTGACATTAAAGTTTTCCTGAAAAAAGCTCTTTCAGAGATGTTGCTTAGAATAACTTAGGATCTTATCATCGCTCTGATTTTAAGCATGCAACATACCTATGCCAAATGCTCTCTCTATTTTGGTAACCATAACCCTAGAGGGAAGGCAGCTAGTCATCACCACCCACCGCCAACTTTTGGGCTACTCTTTTACCAACGAATAGTGGGATTGACCGTCACATTATAACGCCCCCACGGCTGAAAGGGCGAGCATGTTCGGTGTGACGGGGATTCGAACCCGCGACCCGCAGATTGCGAGCCGAGCACCCTAACCACCTGGTCATGCTGAGCCTACTATATTGAAGTGAAATTTCATGGATTGTGAGTACATAAGATGACAACCGCCAAACGTTCATTTACGAAAGTAGAGTGAATGATCGATCATTTGAATCTCAGATCATGTTGCCAATTGTCATATTCCTGATTTGAATAAACAATAACTAAGAGGGTACGAGTCCTGTGTTTTTTAAAGTAATAAGGTGTAGAAATACGTCGTTCAAGACTGTTTTTAACTGAGTACTCTCCAAAGTTTAGATACGTAACAAGGTTATGTTATTCTATGTTTCGTAAAACTAAGTCAGGTACTTACATTTATACATATATTTACTGGATTGATTGATAAAGGGCTAATTATCAATGCTTTGTGGATGCAGAAAGGATTACTTATGTTTTTTAAAGCATTGCAATTAAACGCAGATAGAGCATAACCACGTTATAGGATCTAATAATGCCCGCAACCTAGTGAAGAAAACACACAAACAAAGTTTTAAGACTCATATTCTACAAATATAAGTATAAGTTTGGTTTATTCAGCCGTTAAATGTTTCATCAAAATCAACAAAATGAACAAAAGTTACAGTACATATTTGTACCTGTCTTCTTAATATAATACATTTTAACATATAAATGTAGTTAATGAAATAATTAAAGTACAGAAGTTACTTAGCTGTTTATAAAATCACTTCATTATTACATTACTTTTGTCACCGCTCTAACTTCTGATACGAATATAATAACAAATTAATTACAAATACTCCATTAAAATTTAAGTGTCTAACTTATGCGGCGTAGCTAAAAACATTAAGGTATAGGCAATCTCTCACTTTTCTGTTTATTTGTGCCATGACTCGCATTAGACACTCATAAATTACTTATTGCTCGAAACTTCAAATTGTTTTTCCTAATTGTACGATTTCTTGATGGATGACGGGATTAAAAATGTTTGTAAAATACGTTAGTTTCAGTTTGTTTCACGTTTTTAAGTTTCACCCACCATCATGCCCCAAAAAACGCGGCCTGGTTAACAAATGAATTTGCTGTAAAATTCTTATCAATGCTAAAAGTGTAGTTACCAGTTTGGCCGCGAATTTTGATTTCGTTCCTTTAAGTCACACACTCAATCCTTTTTTGACTTCACCTTTTTTTTTTCACACCTAGGGTGTTTTGATTACATTAGTAATATCCTTACTTTTTAATTAACTTACTTTTATTAATTTCGTTAAACAAAATAGCATACGAAATATAGGTTATAGCTCAAGCTGTTGATGTTTCGATTTTCAAATCGTTTTCGACTTTATATTTTGTGTTGAAAGTGAGCTTGGTTTGGTTTAACTTTCGCGCAAAGCTACACGAAGGCTATCTGCGCTAGCCGTCTTTAATTTAGAAGGAAGGTATCCAGTCATCACCACCCACCGCCAACTCTTGGGCTACTGTTTTACTAACGGATAGTGGGATTGACCGTCACATTATAGCGCCCTCACGGCTGAAAGGGCGAGCATGTTTGGTGGGACGGGGATTCGAACCCGCAACCCTCAGATTGCGAATCCAGCGCCCTAAACACATCAAACGATGTCAATGATTATTTACAAAATAATTAAAATAAAACTCCCATAAAGCTTGCATTGGAATTTTTTTAATGGCCCAGCTTAAATAGGCTCTATGCTTTCTATTTTTCTGTCTTGGGTAAATTTTCAATCAACTCCTACCTTAATTTACTAATGCCTAACTACAGTTAACACGTAACTAATGAATGGGATCAAAATTCTATAACTATGGTACATTTGCTTTTCTTGTTTTCATTGGTACAAAATCACAAACTTCTTGTTTGAAGTTCGATTTTTGTGCTCTAACATGCTCGATAGAAATTATCATTAGTCTAAACCAATGGTTCCAACCTTTTGTGGCCCTCGTACTCTCTAAGAAAGCCCTCGCACCCCTTTCCTAAAAAGTATGCATTAGACATTTCCTCTTGGCGACATTTTGTACAGGCCTCTTCCGCACACACCCTGGACTCTCATT